GAAGATGTGATGGTATTCATGTTAACAACTTCTTCAAAGTTGCTATAAATTGGCTCACTTATGTTTCTCGGCAATTCATTTCTTATGCATTTTTACTATATACTCTCATGAAGCTCAGAAAAGAAAAGTAAGAACTCTTTATACTTTTATATTTTTTGGCTATATTGTTTTTAATTTTTTTAAATAAAATTTATGAATTTTTACCAAATTTGACGAGCACTTTGTCGCGGTGTGCCTCAAAAAAATATTTAATACAACGATTATACATAGTATAACGAAGTTTGCTTCCAATCCATAGGGAAGAAATACTTCCCTTTTTAATTAATTAGTAACAAGAGGGGTTTTAAGTTTGATCTGATTTAATTAAATTAACACTAAGATGAATGACTTATATGAGTTTAATTAATAGAGATGACATCTTGGTTTTGCTTTTATCCACTTAATAAAATGTTTATCGATCCCTTTTATATCTTTAACTATCTTCCTCTCGAATATTCAATCGATGAGTATCTCCAATTCATCGAGATTAGTTATTAATAACGAGACGCGTTCATTAATAAAACTTACTACCGAGTCAATATAGAACATGTATCATAAATTAACTTGATAGTAGCAATAAACTTAAGATGAAAATGATTGAGAATGATAACGTCAACACAAGCGGTTTATTGGTTTAATTAATATAATTAATTCCCCTTAAATTATTAACCATGAAACGCGTGCATTAATAATCCAAGTTTACTACCGTGAAAAAACCGAACGATTAACAAGCGTATTCGTCGACCGATTCTAGTAATAATTAATATATGAAACAAAAATAGTTAATCCTTTAAGTAATGCTCAAAATATTAATATGAAATATGAAATAGGAATTAATTAATATTCAAGAAAGATGATTAAAAAAATAACGCACAACTTACAAATCATTAAGCTTCAACGTAGCAAAACCAAGATGGAAGGGGTTTAACTCCTCATTTGGAGACTAAACATGCTAGAAAATATAAAGAAAACACTTAACAAAACTGAGCTTTAAAATATAAAGGAACTTGTCACGATTGAGTATTCGAGAAGGGACAAGTTAAAGATATAACTGAGATCAATAAACTTTCCAACAAGTGAAATGTAGTAAAGTCATGTAAACCTTAGACACAGGCAGAAGTAGTATAAAAGCAAAAACACAACTCGACACAGGCAGAAGTAGTATAAAAGCAAAAACACAACTCGACTATTAAAGTAGTTTTTTTGCAAAAACTTTTTTCCCCTGGCATTTAGGGGAGAGCAAATGCCCACATTTCCCCCACAATGGATACGCCCTCACCCTAGTTAAAGTAAAGCATTGAAATGGTACACATTAGACAAAAAATAAAAAAGAAGAGCAAGTATATTATTACAAAAGATTAAAGTTAATGCCTTAATATTATATTCGGCATTCCTCGAAATAGATAAATTCACCAATCAATGCTTTTTAATCAAAAGCTTAATTATGAGAATAATCTCATTTTATTTTCATACAGAATATAGAGTATTAAAGTAAGGTCAATTTGGATTCCTATTTTTAGAAATTGGACTTGTTTTCAAAATTTCGGAATTTTGTTTAAAAGTATAAACAATCATTCATAATAACTATGTCTCACTTTTAAACTGTAATTTTGATTTCTATTTTTTTATTTCATTCACTTTTATCCATAGAAAATATTTCATTAAAATTTGAGAAAGCAAAATTTATATTTTCTTATAATTTGGGGGGCCAAAAAATTTTTTTTGGGAGGGCTAATTTTTTTTTCCTGATATATATAATGAAAAAAACTTGGAGCGTGGCCCCCCTGAGTTTCTACTGTGGTCCTCCCTGGTGGTTGATAAACACAAATATATGCAGTGGCGTATCCAGAATTTTTTGTCAGCGGGGGCGAAATCACATTAATTATCTCACGCGTCCCATAAACAACGACCACATTAAGAATAAATAGTGTAAAGTCAATTATAAATAACAAAATGTTCAAGGGATAAAATATTACGATATCATAATTAAAATTTTCATGTCAATTAAAAGTTAACTTTGTTCAAAATAAATTTTAATCACACAATTTATAACTTATTCATAATTATGTTGACAATAAGAATCAAATAAGGAATGAATCAAATATGTATTTAGAATTAATGTAATTAAGTTTCGAATTAATCAAATATCTATATTAGAAATCAACACTTTACAAATTATGTGTGAAAAAATATGTACTTATATTGAAGTAATTTAAACAAGGCAAAATTTGAATGTAATTATATGCTTACTTTTAAATTCGTTTAGGATCTAAAAAGGTCAGAAAAAAACAAAAAGTCGAAGAACAGACTGAGAGTCGAACCCCCAACCAACCTGCCAATCTCTTGCATGCGAATCATACTAATCCAGTGAACTACCGTAACTTCTTGTCATTTAACTTCTTATTGTTGTATAAGTTAATTACGTTAATACATATTTACATGTATAATTTTTTATTCGATGTATGTATATATAGGGGTTGGGTGGGGGTTGAGTGGGGACAGCTGCCCCCCCTGCCCCCACGTTGGATCCGCCCCTGAATATATGTAGTGTAGATATAGAAAGATAGAATAAAGAGTAGTTAAATTTTGGATGATTATTTGGGGGGAAAAGGTGCAAATAAGCCCTCGAACTCACCGAAAAAGTGCAAATAAGGCCTTTTATAGGAAGCTCTGTCCAAGTAGAGTTCCAAGTAGAGTTTGGGGCGGTTCCAAGTAGAGTTTTTTTATGATTTTTTTTAGCATCTTCTTCACTAAGTCTAGTTTACCCATACCAAATTTTAGCTAAAAATTTAACCGGGAAGGCAGCCAAATGATTTTCTGAATTATACTGCGCTGTTTAACTACTCAGTTATCTTCAAACATTCATTTGACTTGCATTTCCAGTTGAACTTTTAGCTGAAATTTGGTATGGGTAAACTAGACTTAATAAAGAAGATGCTAAAAAATTTTCATCAAAATATTCCACTGGAAACCGCCTCAAATGGCGACAGCCGGACAAAGATTCCTATAAAAGGGCTTATTTGCACTTTTTTGGTAAGTTCGGGGGCTTATTTGCCCCTTTTCCCTTATTTGGGGGGCCAAAGTTGGCGTTTGATTATTGTACTTCTCGTTGTTTTGTCTAAAAATACTACGGAGTATTTTGAATGACTTGAGATTTGTTTCAATGCGTGATCTACATTTTTGGAGTTTTGTTTAATGACTTTAATCATGACACATTGACACTGCATGTTTACTGAATTCAGATTTATAAATGAGCACTAATACACAACACAAAACACACATTCTTTTAAAATTGGTGTTAAAAGAATGGTGAAGATATATATATTGATTGTCATCTATTTGTAAAATAAAACAATGGTGAAGATAACATGTTTCATATTGAAATGCAATCCGTTTAAAATTAAAGTTTATTTTTGAATAAAATAGAGTGTTAAAAGCATAATTTTGAATTTAGGTAAATTCTCAGTAAAATAAATTTGACCAGAGAAGTATAAACTACGGCAGGTGACCTAAATGTGTACAAAAATATTGCGAAATCATTAAAACATGAGGACATAGACTTCAATTAGCTCTCGGACAGAGTGGTGACAAGCAATTTTATCACCGGCGGAATCAGAGTTTTGGGGTCTTCGACAAGCAATGAAGTGGTGTCTCCAGTGGGTTAGAGGGAATATAATTTTTTAGATGGATTCCAAACGAGTGATTGATGATATGCATGGTGATTGGGATGATGTGTCAGAATATAGATTGATGGTGAAGGATTGTCGATCAATGCTAGCGGAGAATAACAACTTTAAAATTGTTTTTAGATAAAATTTCACTAATATTACTCTTTTAAGAGTTACGGACAAAAATGTGACTTGATAACTTTGAGTTACTATAATTATGTTCAATGTTACTATGATGTAGTGACCATGATGTAAACTTTGAACACGGTTATAGTAACTATAAGTTATCAAGTCACATTTTTGTTCATGATTTTTGTATTAGTAATATAAAATTCCTCTTTTGTTTTTACTAGACGGCAAGCAAAGTAGTGCTCATGTCATAGCTAGGGCGACTACTAATCATGCTTATCGTGTGACATTTTATCATCTTCCTTGTTGTATTCTTCATATTATTGATAATGAATGAATCAAGTTAATCCTTTCAAAAAAGACTTCAATTAGCTTTTTTTATACTTCATCAATTCTGTTGTACATAATATCTTATTTTGGTTCAATAGAGGATCTACGTAAATAACAAATTTTGGTTAATTACTTTTTGGAAAAATTCAATATAATTTTGTGAAGAAAAAAGGATATTGAAATGATATTTAGGGATTAGAAACATAAGATATAATCTTGAACTGCATTATGATATTTAGCATACTCAAATTGAGATGATATTAGAAGTGCATTGTCATACTCTGTACTTCTTTATCATGCTCATGACCTCCCTTCAAAAAACATTGCCCACACCAGTTTTCACTCCACTATGCCTAATTATAAGTTCTTACGTAAATTTTTATTACATATCACACTTGTTATTCTATATCACATTTACACATTCGATTTATATAAAAAAAAAATCTTTCACTAATGACATTAACAAATAATAAAATACACGTGTGAGAATCTAATCACAAACAAAGATGAGAATATTTTAAGACAAAAAGAAAGGGACAAGAAAGATAAGAAAATGATAACATTTATAAAATTGCAATGAGAAATGCTAGAGGTACCCCATTTTCTACCTCATCCTATGTTTGTGGCTCACAAAAATCCAACTCAATTAAAATAATTGCTCCATTTTAACTCATTGCTTTTGTGAACCACAAACATAGGAGGGGTACAAAATGGGGTACAAAATGGGGTAGCTTTAGCATTAGTGAATTGGCAATACTCTTCTTTACCCTCAATAGTGCTTGACATGAGGTGTCGACTCCTAATGAGTTCTCTAATATCATAATGCACATTGCCATTAGATGTAGTATGATCACACCAATATAAATAGTATGAGGCTATGAGCATGAAAATGTTTAGAAGATGTTTAGAAATAGGGAAAACTGTTAATTAAATCCTCGAACTAAAAAAACACTCAATTGAGTCTATCAACTTCAAAAAACAATCAAATTTGGAATTTAACAAGTGAAGATCCGGTCATCCGATTGTTTGGAAGATGTGGCTGCCCATGTGGATTTTTTTTCTTTTTCTTTTTTTCTTCTTTTCTTTCTTGTTTTCCTTCCGCGCCACATCTCTTTCTTCTTGTTCTTTCATCTTCTCGGCAACCCTCTGTACGAACATTTCATCTTTTCTTTATTTCTTTCTTGGATTTTTCGTTTCTTTCTCCCATCCATACTGCTCCCGCTTTTGTTTCATCATTGTGGTCATCGTTGTCATTCTTAATTATTTAATTTAGGAACTCCGGCAAAGACTTGAAAAGGTGGCATGGCGGCGGATATCCTGTTGGCTAATGTGACCTCATTGGTGTCAGTGTTCGTCTGCAATGACGAGAATTAGCTCGGGAAGGCATCCACGACGGCGAGGACGAGCTCAAAAGTCCGGCGTATGTTTCTGCACCTGCGGTGATATGATGATGGTGGCTTAGCTGACGAACTTGGAATTCCACCATACATCTTCTACACCTCCGGGAGGATGGAATCTTGGCCAAAGAGCTTGAAATTCCGGCGAACATTTTTCTACACACCTGGCGCCGCCGTGCTTGGCCATAGATGGCTTTTTGGCCGACGAGATCGAAAATTCAACGTCCGTGCTCTACACTTCTACACCTTCGGCGCCATCGATCAAGCTCGTGCTTGGCCGGCCAATTATCAGACTCAAAGAAAAGGAATGAAGAAAAGAAAGGGAGAAGAAGAAGTTGGGCTAGTGAAATGGCAGAAGAAAAGATGTTGCAGAACAGAATGGGGCAGGAGAGATGAAAAGAAAAAGAAAGAAAAAAGGGAAAATTAAATATATAAAAAAAAAACACAAATGGATAGCCATATCAACGTTATCACCGGGTAACTAGATCTTCACTTGTTAAATTTCAATTTTGACTATTTTTTAAAGTTGAAGGACCTAATTGAGTGGTTTTTTAATTCGAGAACTTGATTGACTTTTTTCATATACTACAGGGGCCTATTTGATAATTTTCCCTTAGAAATAGGGGTACTTGTAGGGGTGGACTCGGGTGGGGCCGCCCAGCCCGAAACCGGCCCGGTACCATTTGGGCCCGGCCCAGCCTGGTTGGCCGGGCTTCGGGCCCGTTCGGGCCTACCGAACCGCTCAATTCCCGGGGCATGCTCGAGGCTCCTAAAAGTGGAACCGGCCCGGCCGGTCCGGGCCCAATTCGGACCTATTTTTTTTTTAAAAAAATCTGTTTCTACCAGGTTGGGCTGGGTGTTTGGGGGGGTTGGGGGTGGGGATGAGAGGGGGGGTCGGGGGTTAATTACAAAAGCAAAAGAAAATAAAAAAAATAACATTGAACCAGAACCGCTACATACCCGGGCCAGTTCCGATTCTTCCTTTCCAAAGAAAAAGCCCGGCCAGGCCCAGGCCCGAACCAAAACCGGCCCGGCCCAAGTCCATCCCTAGGTTTTTAGAGCTTTTTTACCCCAAACCTCCTAAAACCGCCCCAAACACCCCCAAACGATTATATAGCCATTATATGGCCCCGCAACCCCACTCTTCATTAAAAAAATTCTAGCCGGTGGGACCGAAACCGGGCCCAAGACCGCCCAGTAGGTCCCCAATTTCACAGCCCGAGACCATGACTGCCGGTGGACCGGACCAGTCACTGGTCACGAGTCGGTACTAATAAACCGGTCCTGAGCCAGTCCAAAACAGTACTAGTCCCGGGTTACTACCGGTCCTTGTCCATCACAAATTACACCACTCCACACAAAAATCAAAAGTTCCAATAAACGGAATAAGTAACCAAAAGTTCTAATAAACGGAATATAAAAGTTAAACAAAGTAGTTATCAAACAAGACCCTAGGTAGGTAAACTGAACATAAACTCTTTCTTTATCATTACAATCATCGATTAGCACAAATTAAACAGTCCCTCAATATTCTCCATTATCCTGAACATTGGACAATATTTATATAAGAAACAAAATGACGGTTAAGACTTGTGATGAAAAAAAATTATTCAAATACAATAATAATTATGAGTTCCTTCAAAACGTAAGATAATTTGTTGCAAAGGACAGTCATATTTCTATTCTTGAACACAACCGAGACATCAAATCGCTACTTCTTTTTATAAAGGGAGATATTATAGCGTCCCAGAGTCCCAGCCATCCTATTCTTCCTATCCGATTCTTCCTATCGGGCTCTCAATTAATTCTGAGAAGTTGATTATTCACAATTTCACATGTACAAGAAGTGAACGTTGGATTATGATTTAGGTAGAAATCCAATATAAGATCTCTCTTTAGAAACAATATTAGTTGCAATAGAAGCAAACTTGGTCAATCATGATTCTCCTGTACATCCATTGGGGTGTATATCATCCACACCAAACTTATAGGATCAAATGCCCGAAAGTACCCTTGGGGTTTGGATGGAAACCTTTTTTCATATAAACAACACAATTAATAAAATCAGGATGAAGGTGGAACAAAAGGGGCAAAACATAGTATCCACACATTTCTTGATGGTGTGTCTGGCATGTTAAAATTTGACATTAACAGAGAACCAATACAAACTGCACTGCATATATGACTGCATAATGTACACATGCTAATTAATATTTACATGTACATATAACTCAATCGCTAACCTAGCAAAATTGTGTCCCAAAGCATTCAGCAGAAGGGCGGAAATCCATTCATGTGGGTGACTCTGTGAGTAGGAGGGTATGCCACCATCCACATGACACATTTTTGGGGACACATTCATCTATAGGAACTTGTGTAGGTATCTTACGGTCTATTACATCGCCTAATCCAAGCTGAGAATATCATAAAATAATATCGGTATTTAGGCAACACACACAAAAAGTAAGTAATAATAACCAAAGTAATCTTTTGGTAAAATATTTACCTGGCCATACTTGTTCCATCCCCAGCAGAACACCTTGTTATCATCTTCAAAAACGGAAGAAAGGAAGTGTAAGACCAAATGTAGTAAATGCATGTGCAGTACTTCTATTTCAGGGTACTTTAGCTTGGTTTTGTATGGGCGAACAAATGCAAACAATGATTCTTACAGAGTAACAGCACATTCACCAATGCCTACTGTTATTCACTAGTGATTTCACATTTGCTTAATGTGAAATCACAAGGTATTTGCAGTGATTGCAGAGCCTTTTCGAGCCGGATGCACGAAAATGCATGTTTGGAAAAACATATAGCACTGGAGAGACCCTAGTTTTTGTGAATTTGGGGCAAACGGAGGTGTCATTATTATAAATTTTAACACAAATAGACACGTTTTTTTGCCAAACTTTGAATGAGGCCGGGCCTAGGTTGACCATCTTTCTATGCCGCTGCTTGGGACGAGACACACGGTCATCCCAGTAGAGATAAACACAAAATTGAGTTCTTGAACGAAGTGAGATGTAGGAATGTTGGACTAGAAGACAGAGAGTCCTTCGGCGACCCCTTCTGGTATTATTAAACAGAATAGGCAGAAGGCGAGACAAGAAGACAGAGAGTCCTTGATATTGCACTTTATGCAAGAGATGAGGAACCCTTTCATGAAGTAATAATGTCTACGGAAAGCTCATTAGCAGGGAAGGAGATCTAATCAATTTGAAGTACACTACAACAAAGGGATAAAGGGTCATCTCAAATGGAGTTTCAGTACTCAGTAGTGTACGACTATGTGGATTCTGAAGTAAGTTGGAGGACATTCCACCACCATTTCATCCTACGAGAGTCCAGAAAGAGTACGAAGCCAGCACATACTCCTAGGAAGTGATTCTAGGAAACCACGCCAGAAAGCGAGGAAAACATGAAATGAACCAACGAAATTCAGGGAACAAGAATAAAACTAACCTTTTTAAAGACAGACTGAGGAACACAAGGCCTAAAGGCGCTGGTTGGAAACTTACTGGAGTTCTATCGAAAATTTGACAGAGCCTGAGAGGTTGTAACAACCCAAAATATTCAAACCTCAAAGGCCGTGGACGAATCAGGATGCAGCATAAGGATCAGATTGTCTGCCACATTTGATGTTGATTGATGTGGGTGCAGAAAAGTTTTCTCGGCTCAGATTTAAGACCTTTTGAATAGATTTTCGTAAATCATGACTACTAATTGCTAAAACATTATCAATAACTATAACATACAGAACGCTTGAATAACTTATTTGAGCTATGATAGGTATAATGATAGGAATCTGGCTTAGTAGGTTAATAATAATAATAGAGTTCCAGTAAATAATTGTGATAGTATAAAAATAAGGCTTTTGGGCCAGGTAAGTCATGAGTTGGGCTAGCCCTTTTGTTACTACCCATTAACTACTATGACGTATCAGAGCCCATTTGGGCTGGCCCTTTTGTTACTGCCCATTAACACTAATAGTTAATGCCCCTCTCGAAGTATTAGAGCACGTGAATCGCCTGGGAGTAACATGTACGCTAGAAAAGATGGAGAATCGGTCGAATGATCTGGAACGGAACTCTACAGAGATGATAGCGGAAATACGAAAGGTGACGGAATCGCTGTTGAAACAGGATCGCGACAAGACAAGGGGAAGTTGGCGCACTTCAGAACATCGACGAGCGAGAGAATCTGAGTCCAGCTGCATCTGAAGGTAATTCTGATCAATATCGTTCGAGTGTAGGTCGCAATAGCAGCAGAAGGCCTGTTCATACGGTAATGAAGGTTGATTTACTGAAGTTTACAGGGGATGATGCTGACAGTTGGATTGTTAAGATGGAAGAGTATTTGCGTCTCAAGGCTACTGCTGAAAAAAATAAAGTGGTAGTAGCAGAAGGTGTGATAGAGGAAAGAGCCTTAGCCCGGTTATAATGGGAAGAGTTGGAAGGTTCTGAAGGAAGCCATAAATAGGCGTTTTCAACAACACAGCCTGAAGACAGAAAAACAGGATTCGCGATTGCCAATATATCTGCTTTAAGTTCGCAATCTTTGTCGCGAACTGCTTTTAACAGTTTATCATCGAGAACTATTTCTCCGCAGATGTCATCGCCGTCGCAAACAGCCTCTATCAGTTCGCAGGTCTCCTCGCCAAAATTTTCTCCCAGTTCGCAGATTTCAGCCCAATCAGCATTTCCTATGGCGCAAGTTTCATCGTACCTAAAGGAATCACCTGAGGATACATTCATCAATGGTGACGAGGAACGAGAGGATAAAACTTCTGTGGTGATTCAGTCCATTGCCATGGAATATGAATCTGCCGTTGTTAAAAGGGTTGGTTCAAATACTTGGGAAAGCTCTACCCGGACTGTTTGTATAGAGGAGACTGAGGAAATAGAAGAGAATGAATCCAAGTCTAGAAAAAGGAGGACAAAATTGAAATGCAAAACCAAAATAATTCTTCTGCAGGGTTTGATAGTTTGAGCTATGATCAAGGTTATTATTCTGAACATCTGAAAGTTGCTGACAACTGTGTATTACCACCTACAACTGTGTCGCTGAAACCGAAGCAGGTTGTTTCTGGACTTCCTGATGGTGAAGGTTCTTGGGTTGTTTCTGCAGGGTTTGATAGTTTGGTGGCCGATGCCAGCTCACTTTCAAAGTCTGTTTTGCTTGAAGGGACAGTTGCTGAAGCTACAGAGGATCCATCTGCAAGAATTAAAGCAACGACACCATTAAGAAAGCTGTTTTCGATTGAACGCAGCCCTCCAAGTGATGAGTTTCGTGAGCAGGCTACCTGGGCTTTAGGAAAGGTTTCTTGTGATGCCCTAGGTTGTAGCGATCAAGGTCTTGGTCATGGTGCAATCCTACCATTGCTAGTTCAGTCAAATGAGCATTCAGAGCTTTTTATGTTGACAAATTCTACAGGGATTTTATCAAACATATGGCGATGCAGGACACCAACTCCATTTGCCCGGGTCAAAGATGTATTGCCAGTTTATCAGCCATTCATCCATATGAAAGAGGAAGAAGTCTGGACTCAAGTTTGCTAGACAATACCTAATATCACTG